CGAGATCAAGTTTCAAGAAGAAATTACGAAAAATCAACAAGGTATATCTAATAAAAAGTTTAGGAAGGACTGGTGTTGAGTCTACCTGTTCGGGGAAAAGTTAAGGATGAAAAATTCGTTCTTACTGTAGGGTCTGGCGCAGCGCTATCTTCAGTAAAGCACGAAACTTTGCCAACATCGTGCTTCTCTCAAGAAAACTAGTTCAACTAACAGTTATTGGAAAAATACTTAAAGTAATTGGGAGCACGTGGAATTTAGGCTGGAACAGGTAGGGCTACTTCAAATGGTCTTACTTTGATAGTTGATATTTTTCTGCTCGCTGAATTTGTTCTGAAAATTAAACTTAATAGCCAAAATGGATCTTCTTTTGTTAATATAAGCTACATATTTTAAATTTTGTCGCTGAGGAGCTTTCTAATCTAATACTGAAAGGCGAATTCAGGTACTTTGTCTATGCAGTAAGAGCAAAACTGGACAAAAAATTAATGGAAACTTGGAGAAAGGATCTGATACCTATATAGACTTTTATACTAAGACGGAACAGAAAAATACCTATAGTAGTAATATAGCTAAAGAAATCCAATGATAGCTCAACCGTACCCGCAGCCAGCCGTCTGTCGAATTCCGTCAAGATCAACAAAGGTCAGTACGAAACTGGAAAATGATTGGCTGGCTGCGAAAATTCCGGAGCAGTTAACAAATCAAAGTATAGTTCACTTAAATTACTCAGCATCAGCAGAAGCACTGGCGTAGCCAGGGGGGGAGGCAGAGGGGCATGTGCCCCCCCAAGACCCTTAAATTTTTTAAATAATTCTTCAAAATTAGAATAAAAAGTCCCAAAAATACTATGAAAAAACACAAGAAAAGGGCCTCGCATCCAAAAATTTCGCACCTGCGGCGCTTTGCCTCCGGCAGCGCTCACGGTTGACCAACAAGAAACACTTCCTGCAAATTTGCCCCCCCCCCAAGACAAAATCCTGGCTACGCCAGTGAGCAGAAGTCTTGGGACTTTGAGTCTATCCTAAGACGCAATTTGTAGAAAAACAATTTCGAATATTTTAAAGAGAAGATTGGATTGCCAGAAAGGATGGCCAAAACTAACATCAACAGTCGCGAAAAATATATATTGGCGATTCTGTTTGGCAACGACTCAGAGTTATGAATCGGCTCAAAAGAGAGAGTCATTAGGTCAGGGGATCAGTCAAGTTATGGTAAATCCTGAACACTCCACAGTCCAACAAGTTAAATTCTACTCGATTTCATTGTTTCTCATGCTGGTGGTGATCAGCCTCTATTTTAAAGTTGATATTATGAGTTGAATATTTTTGGGCTTATTGGATTCTATGACATCGCCGCATCGCTGATTATCCTTTGGTCTTCCTGGATTTGCAAATCCTTGGGTAACAACTTATTAGAGCAGAATAAAATGGCTTTCACTTTAAGGAATAAATTTCGGCTTTTAGATATCTTGATTTGGCCAGGCTTGTATCATAATGTTGATTGGGAATGTATTTTTGGACTTTGGCGATCGTAGCAGATCTTAAGCTAAATGTTTGGAATTTAAGGCCTGGACCTGAAGTATATACAATGTAGGCCAATTGAGACAAAAATACTATGACTAATGAACAGAGGGACCAACTGAATCCTGCTATTCGGAAAAAGTTATAACGCATAATGGGGACTAGTCTTAGTTATTACAAGATTGGACATGTTATTGAAATGGAATTACAGGCCTGTAAAACAACTCCGTCGTACCTTTCAAGCAGATAATTAATTGATGAGCTACTTGGCGTCATTGAAAAATGCAAAATTCCCTGGTCAATTCCGGTATACTTGGCTAAAAAGAAGGATGATTCATGTAAGAGTCTGCATGGATTTTCATATTGTAATTGGCTTTACTGAGAAAGACACCTATGCAATTATCTATATTGCCGCCATTGAACATAAATTCTGCTTTTCGTCAAGAGTCTTTGATCACTCCACTTTACCTGGAAATTCTGGAAAAGTACTCTTTCAATTATGTTAAATGTTTTTTAACCTGACCTAACTAACGCGTCTATCACTTGGCAGAGAATTGTGATGTTTTGGAGCGAATTTAGAGCTGGATGTCCAAGATTTGATTACCAAGGCGCTTGTTGGATGATTTATAAAAAAAAACATGGCTCAACGTTAAATTCATTAGAAAACTGCCATTTTGCCGACCAGAATTGCATTATTTGGGTCATGTTGTCGATAAAAATAGGTTGAAGCCGGACCCAGAGGAAATAGAGGCTTTCATAAAGTAAAGAGTACACCCTAGACGAACCAATAATTAAAGATCGGAAAATAGAAGGACGGAAGGCAATAACCCTATACTAAATAGGATACTGTGGGACCAAAATATCAACCAAACAAAACGAAATTATTATAGAATATTCACCACCGTCAAACGCAGGGTCACATAGTTCAGAGGCCTGGTCACTAAAAGACAGTAACTGCAAAACTGCTGGAAGCAACTGAAATAAACTTTTTGAGGAGAGCAACAGACAAGTCCAAAATGGGAAAGATAACAAACCAGAGAATAGAGATAGTCTGAACGTAACAAGGATATAAGAGACATAGGTCATAGACAACGAGAATCGGAAGACGTAGAACGTTATAGACCGATATATGTATAAAGATTACGCCTAAAAATATACCTGACAGAAGATTTCTTGGAACTGCCTCTTGCTATTGACGTTATATTTCAACTAAAGTAGCAATACTCACTAATAGAACCCTAATTTTCTGAAATTCCATTATTCCAGTCCAAATACTAAATACAAGTCGAATACAGATATAATCAGTAAAATGAAAAATCAACTTTGGAAATATCCATCTTGGGAGATTGAAAATGATTTCTCCAATACATTCCTCATAAAGAATATAATCTTTGACAGTTTGGGTTAGTATTTTCTCACAGATCTATTAAAACGTATTTCCAATTTTGATCTTTTGTCAATATAAACCTTATTGACAATACGAAATTTATTGATACGACATTATTAATAATACACTAGATTAAACGTACGGGCACCTATTGCATATTCTGTACTATCTTCTTCTATCGAAAAATTCTTAATCCTCGCATCTGCTCCATACACCGGCAATAAGAAAAAAATCGAGAAGACATCTGTCTTATTTCTTTGTGCGTGGTTTAAACTTGTTATATTATCCTCCAACGACAACACGTCGGGGGATGAAAAGTGGGTGTGCAAGCTGCACCGGCTCGAAGGACCCAAAAACCAGCAGATGGATTTCTGTTTTTCTCGATCTTAACACAGGTAGAAATGTGAGAGATGTTTTTATTGGATCACATATTTTATTTATAATCGAACATAAGTTTTTAACGGCTCTGAATCTGTAAATGACTCACTGAAGAATTCCATTAAAAGAAAGGCTATCATTCAGTATTCGATGGGTCAGAGCAAATATGCCTTTCTGATAAGGACTAATTTGTTAATTCAATACCGAGACAGTACTTCTAGAATAATTACATACTTTATGGGATTTCGTCATATTGAGTGTATTAGCATTCTTATTTTTTAAGTTTGGAAATACTATACATACAGTGAGTGCCAAAAAGTTTGCAACAAATGGGAAAATATTTTATTATTAAGATATCAAAAAATATGTTACGTGGGATCAATTCAGCATACCCATCAACAACAAAAATCACTGTGACAGATGTCATGTGATCACAGTCTTGGTGGCAAATTTAAAAAGTTCGCCTTAAATATGTGAAAAGTGGGATTAGACGACCAGAAATCGAAAAATTGTTGAGAGAAAAGTGGTTCAGGATCCGATTTTACGTCCATGTGTCAATTTTTAAAAAGGTAGAAAGATTTTTAATAAATATCAATTTTTGGCCTGTTTTCTGGTAATTTGAAAAATATCGAAAACATTTCGCAAAAATATTGGCTTGATTAAATTTAGAAAAGAGGTATTAGATCATTTAGAAAGATTTCATGATAATTCTAAATTTGTTATTTCAAATTTTTGTTTTCTGTAGGTCATTGCAACAGGATCAGAGTGGTCTGAAAATGAATTTTTGGTTTTTTACAATAGGGAATTTTCATATTTCTCAATTTTTTTTTTTTTAGATACTTCTCTAGTGATCAGTTATTACATAGTTTTCTTTTTTCCCATTTTAATTCATACGTTGTACGAAAAAAATCTATTGAAATTCAAATCAAAAACTTTGGCGCGAAAACACGAAATTTCAATATGGCAGTGCTTGTGACGTTAAGATTTTGTAAACAACAAATACGCAGCAAACGAACTCCTGGTGACGCAGTGCTATTTTTGTGTTATTCAAGTGTGTTAAAGTTTGCTTTTTGTGGAAATTGTCGCAATGGATGAAGAATATTGTAAAGGACTGCTTTTGTAATTTTTTTTTACTTGTAAGTTCCCTATTGACAGGCTTGTTTACAGAATCGTGACGTCAAAAAAGGTAGCCATCATGGAAGTATTGTTTTGGCGGGAAATTTTTTATTTCAAATTTAGTATCACTTTTTGAGTTACAAGGAGGGTATCAGTTAAATAAAAACTCCTCAAACATTGTGCAGTATAAACTATCGATTTAAAACAAATTTGGAAAATTGTAGTTCACTTGCAAGTTCCCTATTTGTCGCGGGACAATTAAGCAGAATTACCGCACTGGATTTTTTTTTGTTAGTTTCACTTTAAATTATGCGAACCAGGCGGAAAACTTTTAATAATTTTCAAATTACCAGAAAACAGGCCAAAAAATGGATATTTTTTAAAAATCTTTGTACCCGTCTAAAAGTTGACACTTGGACGTAAAATCGAATCCTGAACACATACATATATACCCCTCGTTTTTATTCTCATCGCTGACTTCACCGATGAGTAAGCTATCTTTGTTTAGTGAATGGAAAATGACAATGACGGCCATAGAATGGTGGATCCATCGGTAAAATTTGATGAGAATAAAAACGCAGGGCTACTAACGAATACCGCTCAAAGACGACTGCGCATCTTTCTGCGCATCGGAATAAAAGAAGATAGAACACAGATAGAAAAGTCGGCCATTTTGACCTATGCTTTGACATTAATGAAATATAATTTACAGATGACTGTAATAAGTCCTGCGTTATTGACATTTGACAATGTGATTTGACAAATGGTAAAGAGGTTTTGTGGGTTTTGTTTATAAATATGTTGATTGTGGTTTTCAATTGGCTTTGTGTAGGTATTTTAACGTATTTTTTCGAAGTTGAATTATAAAGTGTGTGTATATTATTTTGAAAACATTATTCTGAGGAGCTCGACACCTAAATTCATAACAATGTCTTGTTTTGTACGAAATTGTAAAAACATCAAGAGACTAATGCCTGTGGATTCTCAAATTACTTTTCATCGGTAAGTCTTTCCAGATAAGTTAGTATGATAAAGCATTAAATATCTTAATCTACGTCGGTGTCATTACGACACATTTAGCATTGTCATTTGAATGTCATTAGGTCCTTCATAATAGCACTAGTGCGTTTAAGAATTCATAATAACACCCAAATTTTGAAATGAAAAATATACAAAAAGAAAGTTAGTTGCCAGAAGAACCTTTTCAATAATGCTGTCTCTATATTCGAAGAGACACTGTCGAACTCAGATTCACCAATAATAATATTATTTTCCACTATAAAATTGAATTTATGGCACAAAAATGGACTTCAATATTGAAGCTGCCAAAGTCAAAATTCTAAAAACCAACAAGCAGGTTCTCGACTAGTACGGGCACCTGCTAAATTTCAAATTTTAATTTGAAAAGTTTTTGCTATTTCAAGGCAAATCAAATCTATTTGGACCATTGTAGATTAAATTTTGAATGATACACGTTCGATATGAACTTTATTAATGAAACTTGTGTAACTAAACCACTCGGCTGACGCCTCGTGGTTTAACGTTACACGCGTTTCATTATGGCGTTCATATCGAACTTGTATCATTAATAACTATTACGTACTTAACAGATTTCCCAAGGATGATGTTAGATTTCGAGAGTGGCTGTGTAGTATTGACTTGGGATGGAATTTGAACAACATAAAGTGGTCTGAAAACATGTTCATATGTTCTGAACATTTTAATGAACAGGATTTTTAAAAAAAAATACCAAGGGCTGTATTAAAAAAATCAGCAGTGCCACATTTAGGCACAATTCGTCCATCAGATTTGGTTGAGAATATAATAAGTGGTCAGGGAAGTGATCAGATTCCAAATGATATTCCATCATGTTCCAAATTGTTTACACCTGCTTCTTCTGAGATGGGTCTCTCCAACACAATAATTGAACAAACAGAAAGTCCAGTATTGAAACATCTTTTTTCAACTCCTGAAAAAGTTGATAAAAGTCCAACAGAGCCAAGTCCTTTTAGTGGAAATATTGCTCAGCAGAAGAAGTCATTCAAAAGAAAATTGCTTTTGATGAAGGCTAAATCCATGTCTTCAGGTAGTGATTCCAGTATTGATAGACGAAGAAAGGTTATAAAAACCGAACACAGTTATTCGTAAGTAGTTTTAAACTTAGAAGTACATATAAAAATCAGTTTTACAAATATGTGCATAGATATTCTACACAAGTTTTCATTTATCTCTTGTTTTTTTCTCACTTAACAATAAAAATGTAACACTGCCTTCATGCTTTGTTTCCTGTACATTGTGATGACCACAAAATATTAGCACATACTTCTAGAACCTGTTTTGTGCCTTATAGTATGTGCTTATAGGTATTATTATAATACATATTGCCTAATTTAACAATTTGAGATTGACAGTTATACTTTTTATAGTGTGAGTCCCAAAACAGCAAAAAAAAAAATTTGATACATTGAGGGTCCAATATTGTACTGCAAGAAAAAAAGTATACAGAGCTAAGGAAAGTATAAAAAAAATGAAGAAACATGTTAAGTCTTTGAAAGATGTGATCATCCATTTGAAATCGAGACACTCCCTATCTTCCACAGGTTTGGATCACTTAAATTTAGCAAGTGCTGAGGTTCCCTTATCAGTTTTCAATAGAATCAATAAATCATCTGGCTCTAAAACTGTATCACGGCAAAAGTTTCCTGAAGAGCTCAGAAAATTTGCAGTCACATTACATTTTTATTCTGCAAAAGCCTACGATTATGTACGAAAGACATTTAATCTTGCTTTGCCTCATCCGAGCACCATTAGAAAATGGTGTAGCAATGTTGAATGTCACCCAGGATTCTCCAAACCATGTTTTGATGCTATTGCTCTAAAAGTTGAAGAAGCTGAGAGAAATAATGAAAAGGTTATTTGTTCTGTCCTAATTGATGAAATGTCTATTAAAAAACAAGTTGAATTCGATGGGAAGAGAAACTGGGGGTATGTGGATATTGGTTTTGATATTGACACAGCCGAATTAGAACCAGCATCTGGGGCACTGGTTGTGATGGTGGTCTGCAACAACTCGTCATGGAAATTACCAATTGGATATTTTTTGAATAAATCTATGACAGGTGCAGTAAAAGCCAATGTTGTTAATGAAACTATAACACGACTGTCTGAAATTGGAGAGGAGGTAACATCAGTCACCTGCGATGGTCCCTCTGCACATTTTGCCATGTTTCAAAAATTGGGGTGCGATTTTAATATTGCCAACATGAAAAACTATTTTCCACATCCAGTTGATCCAAATAAAAAAAATTATGCCATATTTGATGCTTGCCATATGCTTAAGCTCATGCGTAACTGTTGGGGCACCTTAGGCACTTTAATAGAACCTCATGGGGATCCAATACAATGGACATACATTGAGAAATTATACGAAGTCCAAGAAAATGAAAACTTTTCCTTAGCCAATAAGCTAGGAAAGACTCATATGCAATGGGAAAAGCAAAAAATGAAGGTAAATAATTATTTATTTACCAAGGCTTGTAAGTGTTACTTTTTTGGCCAAGGAAGCCGAGGCCCGTAGGGCCGACGTTTGCAAGCATTTGAGGCCAAGTAGTCTGTGCCGTACATTCAAGATTATTTCAAAAACTCTTATAATTTGCTATGATTATCATGAATTTGATGATGCACCTATTATTTAACTGGTGTTCAGTTTGTTGCGGTATTGTTGAAATTGGCGTAACTTAGGAAACAGGTCATATAGGTAGGTGCACTTTTTTGACCCGGACTCTAAGTAACACTTACAGTTCATGGACATAGGTTAAAAAAGTCAACTTACAGAACCGGTAGCACAAAAAAAAATTAAGAAACAATCAATATTTTTGTAATGCCTTATTTTTGTTCTAGGTTAAACTAGCTGCACAAACTCTCAGCAACAGTGTTGCGGACGCTTTGCTATTTTTAAAAGAAGACTTGGAGCTCCCAGAGTTCCAAGGTTGTGCTGCTACAGTAGAGTTTATAAAAAAAATAGATAAAATATTTGATATATTAAATTCAAGAATTTCATGGGCAAAGGGTTTTAAATCTCCTTTAAAAGAAGAAAGTGAACATCAGTGGAGGCCATTTATTGAATCATCAATTGTTTATTTGACAAATATGAAAACATATGGTGGAAAATTTTTATGGGCAACAGCTAGAAAAACTCCATTCCTTGGTTTCATTGTTACTTTAAAATCTGTTGTGGGCATATTTGACGATTTTGTAAAAACTGGAAAATTGAAATACCTGTTGACATATAAACATAGTCAGAATCACTTGGAGCTGTTTTTTTGTTCGATAAGGTGAACATTTTACTGTATGTTAAAGTGGACTATGGCTAATAATTCTATGTGGTATTATAGCTGACGGATATTGTTGGGACTTGAAATCAAAATTATCAATGTTTCTGGTATCACTGACAGGCAAACCTATATGGGCTTGCCTTTGAGTGTAATCGATGCCTTATTGGAAAAACCTGCCATCATCTCATCCCATCGCATTATGTTTTTGTTGTTAGGTATACCTTTATTCGTTTGTCGAGAAACCATAGAGAATAGAAAAATTATTATTGTAAAAAAAAATATATGAGGAGGCTGCTCCATGTAATCACCGGAAGTATTTTATAGAAAATGAAGTTAAATAGAAGTTCAATCAAATGTTGTTGGATTTTAATTGGAACCAATTGGAGTGAGAAGCAATTTTTAGGTGAATTTTAGGGAAATGGCAGGGTTGGCTGCTATTTGGGATACAGTCCACTGATAAAGATTTGGAGGCTCCAACAGATATAGATCAGTCATTTTTAATTAGCCGAAGTTTCAGCTAATAATAGTATATTATATACCTAGGTAGAGAAGTTGGTCATTATATACCAAAAGCGCGCAGCGCCGAGGTTTATAATGCTTGAGGTATATATTGACTTTCTCTACCGAGGAATATATAGAATTTTTTTTACTACTGCTTGTAGAAAATAAAAAATTTGTTTAAAATCTGTGTTCTAATTATTTTTTGTGAACGCCCTATAGCTACTACTGCTATGTGTTTGCTTGATATATCACCAGCGAATGAAAACACTGTTTTACTAATAACTCGGTTTAATTCTGGGCACTGAACATACAAATAAATCTAAATACTTTTATTTTCTTAACAACAACACGATATCATCATTGCGCGGCAACAAGCTGACTTGAAGTAAACAACAACCTGTGACAGCTGTCTTCTGTCACGTCAAGTCAGGCCGCCAGGGTTGTACACAATAGTTGAGCCATCCAGGGTTGAGCACAACGGACTCGCGGAACAATGACGCCACATCTACTCCCCTCCCAGTGACGAAGCCACTTGTGGGAGGAACGAAACCTTCTTTTTTGAGTAAGTGCGAAGAAGGCGGTCCATGGTGAAGGATGATGCTGGGTGATTCTCCAGGGTGGATGAAACGGTATCGGGTTTAAGGGTGTAGGCTGGCTTCAGGGCGTCCACAGAGACAGTCTTCTCAACGCCATTGATTCGAATGCTGTACACTCGGTCATTTATTCTCTTGACGACTTCATGCGGGCCAGTGTAGGGCGGTTCGAGCGGGCGACGAACAGAGTCCACTCGGCGGAAGACATGACTGCAAGTTGCGAGGTCCTTGAGGATGAAGCAGCGAGATTTGATATGGTGAGCCGTAGGTGTTGGGCGGACTTTCCTGATGTGGTCCCGGTATTTTTCGAGGAAGACTTGGGGATCAGCTGAGGGTGACTCAGAGGTGAAGAATTCACCAGGTATACGCAGGGGTGTCCCATAAAGGAGCTCCGCTGGTGAGGCATTCAGGTCTTCTTTTAGGCACGTACGCAGACCCAGAAGAACGGTCGGAAGCACTTCCGTCCAGGGCGTGGGTGCTTGACACATAAGGGCTGCCTTCAAAGTCCTATGGAAGCGCTCTACGATGCCATTGGACTGCGGGTGATAGGGCGTGGTGTGAATTACCCGCGCTCCTACAAGGCGTGCAAGAGCCGAAAATAGTGAAGACTCAAATTGCGTGCCCTGGTCAGTTGTGATGGATAGTGGCGTTCCGTAGTTGCAAATCCAATTGACATAGAGAGCAGACGAGACGGTGTCAACTTCCATGTTCTGGAGGGGTACTGCAACAGGCCATCTAGAAAATCGATCGATTATGGTTAAGCAGTAACGAAATTTGTTGACTGGTGGTAAAATGATGAGGTCTAGGTGAATATGCTCGAATCTGTTGTCAGGTACGGTGATGTGCTGTGGTGCGCGACGATTGTGTCGTTGAATTTTGGATTTTTGACACTGAATGCATTGGCGGGACCACTGGAGGGCGTCTTTCTTGATTCCAGGCCAAACAAATTTTTCTTTGAGGCTTCGAGCAGTGACTCGGCCGCTGGGGTGTGCCAAACCATGCACAACATCAAAAGCTTTGCGTCGGAGACTTGTCGGAATGTAGGGTCTGATGCGATCTGAAGAGACATCGCAGAGGACGTTGGCGTTTTCAATAACAAGCTGTTGCAGATTGAGCGATGATTCTTGTGGCGTATCTTGGTCTTCAAGCTGTGCGGCTTCGATGGCTTTAGGAGACAGTGACGTTGGCATGGAGATAGCGTTAATACGAGACAGGGCGTCAGCAACGGCGTTGTGTTCTCCCTTGACATAGACGATTTCTGTGCTGAATTGTGAAATAAAGTCCAGTTGATGGAGCTGTCTGGGGGATGCTTTTTCAGCGCGCTGAGTAAAGGCGTATACCAGTGGGCGATGATCAGTTTTGATGATGAACTGGCGTCCTTCCAGCTGGTGACGAAAGAACTTTATTGCAGCGAAAATCGCTAGCAGCTCGCGATCGTAGGTGCTGTATCGCGTTTCGGTGGGACTCAACTTGCGGGAAAAAAAACCTATGGGCTTCCAGCAGTCGTCGATCAGCTG